GATTAAACCTAAGAATTGATTTGGATTTTCCCTTGAACAACAACAAACACAGATATCGTTGGTGTCTCGAGGAAACTTGGCACATGAATGTTGACGTGACTTCTTATAAACTCTACATTTAAATCGTTTCTCCATCTGTTCAATATTGCCTATGACATTATATGAATATATTTGAATATTTGATTCCGCCCTCAAGTTCTATATCCTTGAAAATAGCTAGGCCTGCCGTCAATAGTTTTTATTTCTTAACAAATCAATACAGGATCATCTCGTGTGGGAGACATTAGATTGATTTAATTAATAGGGGATTGGACTTTTCAATTTTTGTTATATTAAAATTTGTGGAATTTAAATTAAAATCAAGCCTTAGATTTATTAATTTTGAAGTCAACTTCCACTCAATTTACACATTAATATGTGATAGAGATGGTCTGTTTTTTTTTTTTTTTTTGTGAGACACTGGTAATAGATATTGAAAAGGTGTTCATTTTCTTACGTTATTGAAGCTTCCGGCCAAAAAAAAGGAAAGAAGAAAAGAAATTCTTTACGTTCCATGACTTAGCCGTCCACCATCTCAAATCTCAACCGTTGACTCATCCTTGATTTTCAATGACTGTCATCCATGGTCCAGATCATCGTGTCGATCTAGACATAGAGCACAAAAAGAAATTCCCAATTCCCAGTGGACACCAATCCATAGAAAGTAACTTGGGACCTTTGACGTTCACAAAAATAACAATAAATATATATAGCATATTTAGAAGGATAGAAAATACTCCTCACCGTCCTATCAAGGAGGAGGAAGGAGGAGGAAGATTAGGAAACCTGACATATATAATACAATATTAACTTAACGTACAATTATTATCTGATTATTGTTGTGACATTTCACGTTTGAGTGTACGAGATAAATTGACGTCAATCGATATAAACGTGGAGGTAGTAAACGCAAATTGGTTCGCCCAAAAAAAAAAAAAAACGCAAATTGAGTATAGATGACAGAAAAAAGGTACAGGGAGAATGACGAAAAAATTTCTATATATACAAATAGAATTGACTACTGCAAAATGTGATAATGGTTTTTATTCTGAAAAGAATTACAATTAGATAACACATGAAAAAAATTAATTATTATAAAATTAATTGACAATTGAATTGTCAATGTAATTTAGTCTTAATTTAATTATTAATGAACTTTTAGTAATTATTTTTTTTATGTGAGATTTTAATATAATTTCATGGTTTTTTTATTTATTGATTATTATAAGGATGACTATTTTAGTTGAGTTATTTATTAAAACGAAAGAGAAAATAACTATTTTCTTTTTGCAAAATTGTTTATCACTTAATTACAAGTATTATAGATTAGTAATTATTATACATTGAGAAATAACTATTTTGATTGGACCATTTATTAAAATTGAATAGAAAATAAATACTAAAATATGTGATGTATAAATGGATTAAAAAATGACTACTTCCTTTCTAAAATGACTACTTCAATTGTATTTGATTGTAGGTTAAAAAAAATTAGGATTAATGGATGATAAACATATTTTTGCTAAAAGGAAGTAGTTATTTTATATTTCATTTTAATCAACAGCCTGATTAAAATAGTCGTTTCTCAACACATGATAACCACTGATACTGATGACAAATATGTTATTTTGTCAAATATAAAACAAGTTTATAAAGATTAAATAATAATCAACACATTTTGTGATACTTAATTATCATTTGTGTATTTTGAGATTTTTTGTCATTTTTTTAAGAGGATATTGATAAAAAAAAAAATAATTAATTAATTATTGCGCCTTCAATCACAACAATATGGTAGAAGAAGATTTATTTAAGAATGACAATTGAAAACACTGTAAAAAAATTAATGTGAAATAAGGACAGCTATAAATTTCTGAATTTTCAATCATAAATTTTAAAATTTTAATGGTACAAGTTTCTTCATATTTTTCAAAAATTTTTATTTGTCATTCTCTCTTTATTTAAGCGAGGCAGTGACCCAAAAATAACAAAAAACAAAAGAAAAAGAAAAAGAAGATTATTCCATATGAAGGACTCATACGATTCTGAAACGTGGACGGTAGAGATTGCCCCCATCCATCCTCGTCCACGCTATAAATGGAGTCGTTGAGGCCTCTGAAACCATCTGTGTGTTTAGTTTCTACGCTTGACTAATCGTGTCTGTGATTTCTGTGCTTCCTTTTCCTTCTTCACTCGGGAATATGTCTTGCTCATGTGGCTCTAACTGCGGGTGCGGAAGCAGCTGCAACTGCGGAAGGTAAGATTAAATTCTGATCGATCGCTTTAAATATTTTTGCGGGAAAATTTCTCGGGTTTCTCCTGATTCATATATGAAAGTCACGATTTGCGAAATCGACTGAGCTAGGTTGATTTTGATATCATGTGGTGCAGCAAGATGTACCCAGACCTGAGCTACGCCGAGAAGACAAGCAGGGAGACTCTGGTGCTGGGGGTGGCTCCGATGAAGGCGGAGTTCGAGGGAGCTGAGATGGGCGTCGCCGCCGAGAACGAGGGCTGCAAGTGCGGATCAAACTGCACCTGCGACCCCTGCAACTGCAAGTGATCGAATCGTGGATCAGAAAGAAGCAGAGATGACGACCAACCCTTTAATTACTTCCCGTTGATGATGATGCAGAAATAAAAGAAACCATACACATATATATGTAGGAAGTGTTTGTGTACGCGTGCTTCTTGTGTTCGTGTTGCCGCCTGCGCCTTAGGGTTTAATGGCTGCTCTGTTTTCTGTTTGTTTTGTTTTGCATAAAGTTCAATCTCTGCTTATTGATGTTGACGTTATCTTGTTGGTGTAAAGATCGGTGTTATGGTTGTGTTGTTTACTTGTTTTCTTTTGCACGAGTTTCGTCTTGAGAATTGTGAGATGGGAATGAACCCTAATTGCTGGGAATTAGAGACGAGTACCAGGTTCACACGGCAACGATGCAGATATTTTCTTTTTCCTTTCCGTTGCATTATTGGGAATCATGACGTCGACTTCTTCTTGTTTTTTTTTTTCAAGCGAGGGTGTAATCAGTATTGGGCCAATATTTCTGCGTTTCCTTGGGTTGGTGGTTGATCACTCGATCCTTTTCTTTTGACAAAGATGGAGTATCTTATCTTCTTTTTACCCTAATTAAGTTTAAAATGTAAATTTATATTATTCGCATCTTATTAACGATAAAATTTGAAATTCTTATATTATAGTATATTATAATTCTCAGCTAATAAGATGAACTTCATGCAGATCTATAACCGGTCTTTTTCCTACCTTTACGTGAACCCTTTCAACCTATTCAAGGGAGAAAACAAATAGAAAGTGAGAACTGAGAATCACATGTGATTTTTTACTGGCAGTAGATATTATTTTCTTTGAGGTGCTGAGGATGAAAGGTAGACTAATAATTTGACTTCTATTTATTCTCTCTATCCGATGAATTCCCTCTATTATCAAAAAAGAAAAAAGAAAGAAAGAGAAAAGATTCCCTCTAACCTTTTCTTATCAAAGTGTTAATTTTGTGATTCAACTTTTTGACTCCATTTATATTATATATCGAATCTTCACAGGAGAAATCTGTTTCGCCTTTTTCCATTGATCCCGGGCAGTGAATCTTAACCCGTGCCTTTCTAACTATTTTTCATTTTTTTTCCCAAAGAAAGAAACAAAAACAACAGACGGGAACTTAAATATTGTCAAAGAGAATTTTATATTATTTATATCTCTTTGTTTTTAATGTATAGCATCAATTTCAAACGTGAAAATTCAAACGATCCAATTTGATTCGTGGCTCTTAATTGTTTGGGGTCATATTACATCAAAATCAATGATTGTAACACCACGTCTCTTGGGCTTCTAAGAGGCATTGAGAATACTATTTTTTTGAGACTTATTTCTTCCTATTCAGTTTCTCTTTATTGTACCTCTGTTGTAGCTATAGACCATTTAGATTAAATTTTAACAGTTCATATTAATTCATATTTTTAAAATTACCAAATCCGGGGGATCAAAATGGTAGAGATAATCAAATATGCATGAATCATTAGATAATCTGATGGACCCCTTCCAATCCGATTTTTTTCATACTTCTGGAAATAATCAAATACTCTATGAATCATTAAATTCAATCACATATGGCCGTTGAAGTTACATTTGTAAGGGATTATATTTCTGAGATGATTTAAAATATGAAGCAGCAGCCCGTTGGCATGCAAGAGTGCGTCTTTCATGTTGTGCACGGCATGCAAAGCAACTGGATTTCTGATTAGTTAGTTATCCAATTGACCACCAGATGGGTAATCTAGTTATCTATCTCTCAATTATTAAGACGAATTTTTCCCAAGGCGGTGACATTAATTATTAGTTAATTCATAATATAGTATTTTTCAAGTGCTTGCCTTGGAGCTTGGGTTGGTGCTCATACATCATCTGCATCAATACATATTGTATAAATATAATATTATGAAAACTCAGATCATCTGACTTGGTCATCTTTCCAATCAGTATTTGTTAACATGGCAAATAACATGTTACGTATCAATTAAAAGTTGAATGATTAATTTAACTTAACACGAACAAAGTTAAAAAGAACATATAGGCAGCATATAGGCAAACATGCACATTGTTGTTCTCCACTATGGTACACGCACGAACACAAGGCAACATTGAGGATGTTGCTAGCAGCAGAGGATAATGCAATTTAATAAACAAGAAAAGAATTTGGAGTAGTAATAAATTACATTTGATCTTGGCTAATAAAACGCAGCCAAGTCAGCAAGTCACTGTTGCACTTGTTTCTTTTGCATTGTCTTCGAATATCGTTCTTGCAGCTTTAGTGAACAAGTTGTAAGCCTGTAAAGAAGAGGTCTTATAGTTTCTTTTATATCACAACGATTTATTCTCCAAAAAGAGAGGAGAATGCATTAAATTGAGTTTTATGTCATATTCTGCACTGCAAGAAAAGCAAATGGGACCAGGAGCGCCACCAAAAAAAGAGACGAGACGAACGAGCCAGACCAACAATAATAATTGGATGCATGTAAATGAGTTTTATGTCATATTCTCCATACATATATTTCTTTTTCAACCGAATTCTATTTAATTGTATCATTTTACTTTATTTTATATTAATTATTAAGTTTAATTTTATTCGATGTGAAACTTTTTACATTAATTTAAGTCCCTAAGACTAAAGTCCTTACTTTTGCAATCAAAGCCAGCTTGATTTTTGGACTTCAAACATCTCACATGAGCTTAAGTCTCCTTAAGTGTGAGTTTACAAGCTCTTTCTATTGAAAAATTGCCACAAAAACAACAAAATCCCCTGTTCCCGCAATCAGGATCTAATTTGGACTTTATCCCTCTACAAGTTTCCCATGTTGAAAGACACTACAAACTCCAAAGTCCTAGCTCCCGAAATCAAGGGTTTTGAGCTTTATCCAGGTTAAGGTCCTCAAGTTCTCATATCAACTCAAGTTCCTCAAGTGTGAAAAATAAAAAACAACTAGGTCCCAAGTGAAATTTAAACTTGATACCACTTGTTATGAATGGGGAGTGACCACTTGAAAAAGGAGGGAGAGAGCAAATAACAACAATGGAAGGAAACCATATCCTAGTCATGAGTTATACCTAATTTTATTTTAATTATTAAACTCAATTTTATTCGATGTGTAACTTTTCATATCAACTCAAGTCCTCCTATAGCTGAATTGCAACTTTTAGTGTGATAGTATCCTAATTAGCATTATGAGGAATTTGAGGTCAAAAGACTTATTCCTTAAAATTTAAAGCTCGAGAACCTAGTTTTCGATTTGGAAAGTTTAAGAAGAAACAGTTTGCAAGTGACACAAATTTCAAACAGTCCTTTCTATTTTTCATATATCATTTTTTATTATCTATACCTGTTTGGAAGAGAGGCCAATCTTCTCCAAATCATTTAACTGCATAATGCCGAAACAACATCATCAGCAAAAAAGTATAACATTGCCTACTACCTCGCAAATTTTTCTTCACTTACAGATTTTATAGGGCTTTCGACTCTGAGATCTATTATATATTCTGCCATTTTCTCTCCTATACCCTGAAGAAAGTGAATCGCAAGCATTAGAAAATATAGAAGAAAAATAATGAATGAATATATAAGAAATGACAAAGACAAACTTGAGAAAAATAAAAATCTGTTTATCTAATGATCTTAATTGATTGGATCAATTACGTCAAGCAGGTAGCCTCTAACCCTGAAAGTCTGAAACTGGGAAAACTTGCTCAACTTCTGAACATTTTAAAATCAAGACGAAAACTTTAGTTAATTTGTGCATCAGTGTAAATTTTCATTTACCTTCAACTCAAGCAGTTCCCTTCTGCAAGTTAAAAAAGAAGAAGAAGAAGAAGATCAAATCCCTTGTTAAGAGCTTCAAAGAATGATTACTAAATTTCTATGAAGAAGCAAGACAGACAGAAGAAGGATTTGCTTTACCTGCTCGCATTGTTCAAGAAATAAACATATTCCTGAACTAGACAGTTCTGCATATTATTAAATTGGAGATGAGATGTGAGAATGATAATTCAAGAAGTGTAGAGAACTTATGAGGTTTAAATAGTTGCGTACCTTCAATGTAGAACTCCTTGCACTGAATTTGTCAAGTGGAGTGCTGTTATTTTGGATCTCATTGATATTGATGGGAGAGAGTGCCTTTCTGAGAGGACTTCGTAATGTATTTTCATTGTCAGTGGTGGTTGACCAATAATCTTTTCTTCTGTTCATAATTGGTGAGTTCTCCTCCTTGGCCAATGACTCCACTGCATAAAACCACATATTGCTTATAGAAGTTTAGAAAGTATAATAGACTATCAATCAACCATACAACAACAACAACAACAACAACAAGCCTTTATCCCACTAGGTGGGGTCGGCTACATGGATTGCAAGACGCCATTGTGCTCTATCATTTATTAAGCTTTTAGAAATATTATTAATTAAGAGATCACGTTCAACAACTTCCAAGAGTGTTCTCTTAGGCCTTCCTCTACCTCTCTTAATCGGACTCAAAGTTATATGTTCCACTCTTCTCACTGGTGCCTCCCTTGGTCTTCTTTGTACATGCCCAAACCATCTCAACCGATTTTCTACCATTTTTTCCTCAATAGGTGCCACCCTCACTTTTTCACGTATGTGCTCATTTCGAATTTTATCTTTACGTGTATGTCCGCACATCCATCGTAACATTCTCATCTCTGCTACTCCAACTTTATGCTCTTGCTGTCCCGTTATAGCCCAGCATTCACTACTATATAACATTGCCGGTCTGATAGCAGTACGATAAAACTTTCCTTTAAGTTTATTAGGCACCTTACAGTCGCAAATAACTCCTTTAGCTTTTCTCCAATTAAACCACCCAGCTTGAATTCTATGTGAAATATCTCCACTGATTTCGCCATCATTTTGAATAATGGCTCCCAAATATCTAAACTTTTCCACTTGAGGTATAATTTGATCTCCCAATTTCACTTCCAAATTATTTTTGAATAGTCCTTTACCAAATTTACAATATAAATATTCCGTCTTACTTCCACTCAGACGAAAACCTTTCAACTCCAATGTCCTCCTCCATAACTCAAGTTTGCAATTAACCTCTTCTCTTGTCTCTGCTATAAGAACTATATCATCCGCGAAGAGCATACATTTCGGGATTTCCTCTTGAATATGTTCCGTCAAAACATTTAAAATCAAGTTGAACAAATAAGGACTCAGAGATGATCCCTGATGTAGTCCAATCTTTATAGGAAAATCCTTTGTTTGACCATTAGGCGTTCTTATACTAGTTTTTACCCCCTCATACATATCTTGTATGGCTTTAATATAAGCAATCCGTACTCCCTTTTTTTCCAACGCTTTCCAAAGCACTTCTCTTGGTATACGGTCATAAGCTTTTTCCAAATCAATAAAAACCATGTGTAGATCTTTATTTTTACAACGATACTTTTCCATTAATCCCCTTAGTAGATAAATTGCCTCTGTAGTTGATCTACCTGGCATAAAACCAAATTGATTCTCAGAAATACTTGTCTCCAATCTCAACCTGTGCTCAATTACTTTCTCCCACAATTTCATTGTGTGGCTCATGAGTTTAATCCCTCTATAGTTAGTACAATTCTGAATATCTCCTTTATTTTTATAAATAGGAATTAATGTACTTCTCCTCCACTCATCAGGCATTTTCTTGGACCGTAAAATCACATTAAATAACTTAGATAACCATCTCACCCCTTCTTCACCTAAACATTTCCACGCTTCGATAGATATACAATCAGGTCCGTTAGCTCTACCATTTGCCATTTTCTTAAGAGCTTCCTTTACCTCCTTATCACGTATTTTTCGATAGAATGACAAATTTTGTTCTCCTTCACCAGTTACTAAATCCTTCAAGTTACTAGATGAATCCTCTCCATCATTGAAAAGTTTAGAAAAATAAGTCTCCCATCTATTTTTAATTTCATCATCTGTAACTAAAATTCTTCCCTCTTCTTCCTTAATACACCTTACCTGTTCTAGATCTCTTGATTTTCTTTCCCTACTCTTGGCAATCTTATAAATATTTTGCTCTCCTTCCTTCGTCTCAAGGTTCTTATAAAATTCTTCAAAAGCTTTGGAACGAGCTTCACCCACAGCTCTCTTAGTTTCCTTCTTAGCCATACGGTACCTCTCCCAATTTTCCTCATTGTTACACAAATGTATGGCTTTAAAACAGTTCTTCTTATACTTGATTTTGTCCTGTACACTATTATTCCACCACCAAGACTCCTTATCTCTCGGACCAGAACCTTTCGATTCTCCCAAAACTACTTTTGCAACCTCCCGTATCTTTTTAGCCATATCCTCCCATATGATGTTAGCACTTCCCTGAGAATCCCAAATTCCTTTATCCAAAAGATTTCGCTTGAAAATATCTTGCTTCTCACCTTTTAATTGCCACCACCTAATCTTTGGTGTTACTACTTGTCGACGTTTTTGGATTTTACTCATAATACACACATCAAGGACTAGGACCCTATGTTGTGTCGTTACAGCATCTCCAGGGATCACCTTACAATTTTTACAAAGTTTTCTATCTGTGTTCCTAACCAAAAGAAAATCAATCTGCGACCTTGAGGCTCCACTTTTGTAAGTGATGAGATGCTCATCTCTCTTCTTGAAATAAGTGTTGGCAATCTTAAAATCATACGCCAATGAGAAATCAAGAAGAGTTTGCCCTTCATTGTTTTGCTCTCCAAAACCAAAACCACCATGCACCCTCGCATACTGACCAGCTTCCCTCCCGACATGCCCATTAAAGTCTCCTCCAATAAAAATCTTTTCACTCTGTGGTATGTGTCGAATCAACCCCTCCAGATCCTCCCAAAATAATTCCTTAAGACTGGCTTCTGTCCCGACTTGCGGCGCATAAGCGCTAACAATATTAACAGTCTCACGTCCAATTATCATTTTTAAAGAAATAATTCTGTCTCCAATTCTGCTAACTTCTACAACGTTCTTCTTCCACTCATTATCTATAATGATGCCTACTCCATTGCGTGCACTTACTTTTCTTGTATACCAAAGTTTGAAACCTTGAATATCCTTAGCTCCTTCTCCACGCCATTTTGTTTCTTGCAAGCAAAGGATATTGATTTTCCTTTGAATCATAACCCCTACAACCTCTACAGATTTACAATTTAATGTCCCAACATTCCAAGTACCAAATCTAATTTTGCTCTTATGGACTAACTTCTTTAGCCGCGTGCGTCCAGAATGACGCGGTAGCCCTTGCTCATTTAACACTACATCCGGGAACCGATGCAGCGGCTCTAACTCACTTATCACTGTTCTCGAGCCATGCAGCGCGTTACTTACAGGCAACGACCTAGCATTAACATTATAACGTCTATTGTCCATGTTCATGATAGATTCAACAAATTTTTACATTGGCTGTTGATGGCCTAACACAACCCTCCTCCTTTACCCGGGCTTGGGACCGGCTATAAACATAGGCGGAGTTGTCAATGTCTGATATGCTTGCGCATATGTAGGTTCATGATTTATAACTAATAAATCATTGCATGAAATTCTACCCAGGTCCAAGCATATATCTGAAACACAAATCAAATTGACTCTCTTGTTATGGTGACATACCTCGTGGATAATTATTGGATTCTGATGCAGCCTCATTGGTAACAGCCTCTTCTCTATTGTCCATATCACCGTGATGTGGGCTCTATAGAACATTTCATATTATTATATACAAGCAAAGATGAATATATTCCGCCTATTTTATGCATAAAATTTGCATAAAAAGTTAATATTTATAAACATCGGGCCAAACGGATCCTTTCTAAATATTGGATGTTATTTATAGAATGTTAGATTTTCAAAGAGATATCTTCTCAAACTACTTCATCAATTTAAGCAAACGAACAGCATAATGATACAACTAGTTAAAAATAAGGCCTTGAAATTCCATTTATGATGATGGACTTTTAGTAAAGATTCTTTAGCATATTTCTTAGGCCAACTAGCTGTGCAAGTAAGATACTAATAAAATAATACAGCGTAGTGTTTTGAGAAGTTGATTGTTAGGAGTCAAAGAGTGATTTACTATTGAAAGAATTTTGAAATCAGAGAGTTAGGCTCAAAGTGGATGAGAGAGTTGGACTCAAGATCATGACGCGAACCATTTAAACTTATAATTGATAGGAAGGTCATCCTTATAGAAAAAAAATGAGATTTTACTTATATGAATTTGGGAATTTTTCACATTATTAGTAACACTTAGAAATTGTGCTGGTGAGAGTTTTAGCACATGTAATGCACTAGCAGTATTCACACTAACCTCGAAACAAAAATCAAAGGTGCCTTCACCATCTGGCAGATTCCTAAAAGCCACTGCAAAAGCCCTGTAATAGTAGTAAGTAACAAAAAATGTCAATGACAGAAATCATTTTTCAATATTATTTCAGAAAGACTTCAATCACTATCCACCTTTCTTTTGTTCGTTCGGCATTTTGGCTTATCACAGTACCTCCTCCCTTCACAGAACTCACAAAGGTGACAGATCTCTTGGCAGAGTTTATGGACTTGGGAGTTTTCCTTAAACATGGAGAATTAAATGCTGCAAGTCTTTGTGAGCTCTTTGTTTTGCCTTTTGATTCTAGCCAAGCTCTTAATTTGGCTTCCATGTCAACTCTGACTTTTGGGGTCTCTTGTTTCTGAGTCGAAGGTACAAAATTGGAGATATGCCTTGACCTGGCAGCCAAACTCACCGTATGAACAGACTCCTGGTATTCTCCTGGATTCTGAAATAAAAGGCAAAACGTTCTCATGGCCACTCAAATACTACATATGGAAACATAGAATATAAAAAGACTTATGCCTGCATCCATCATGCGTCTTAGACACTACTAATATCAGATAGAGTGCGAATTTTCAAAATTAAATACTTCAAATTCTATCATTTGTCCATATTATTGAGTTAGTAATTATGCTTTTTAGGTTACTTTGTTTGTAATAAAGATTTAGTGACCTAAAAGAAAACGTATAAAAATAGAATAATGAACGGCACTCCAAGGGTTGACAGCGGAAGTTTGATATGGGGCATCTTTTCGAATTTCGTATAAACACTAAAGATTTTATAGTTTGGCGATGTTTTTGTGGATCATGTCAATGTCAGTATCTATGCTTCTCATATAACTAGAGTTGTCTATTTCATGGTCTAGTGAACCGAAAGATAAACGAAAGAAAGGGAATCCTGAGGAGTCAAACTTACCAAGCAAGCAACCATAAGTGCACGGCTAGTTCCTCCTAGAGAGTCCTGCAATATCCGGGTCAACTTGGTTTCTCGATAAGGCACTCGAGGTTTGTTATTGTTCAATGCATATATCACATTAGACAAAGCAAACAGAGACTGGTTTATTTTGGCACTTTCTTGGAGACGAATTCCTTCATTGCAAGTTCTTTTGTTGTCTTCGTTACCTGGTTCAATCATATGCACATCAGCATGGTATAAGTCACGACCACAGAAACTAGTAACCTATGCTATGAATGGCAATTTAAATAACTGCTTAACATTGCATTTTTTTCTCGTGTCATCCCATGTCTAAGCATGATGGGATAAGGAAAAAAGGCCTTCACTTCTTCCAATGCTTGCCACTTCCTTGTCTCTCAATCTCCATTCTCCACCGTGAGAAAAAATTCTCTTCTCCCCATTTTCTTTTTCTATTGGGATATCTATGAGACCTCCATATTTCTAAAACTACATAGAAACTAAAATTTTGCAAGACCAAAATTTGAATAAAACATATAAATATATTTGGTCTAAATTGTAAATTACAAATAATAATATGGACAAATGTATCTGTGTCAATATTTGAATGTGGAGAGCATGGTTTCCAAAAAAAAAAAAAAACAGAGAGATTTGAATTGTGTTATATGTGTCAATATTTGTGCTTTTTGTAACTAAAAAAATCTGATGCCAAACACCAATTGAATATAGAAATAACCTGCCAAGTCTATGAGATTCAACTTCCCACACACAGACCCTTTAGTGCCATCAGTGGAAGGATTGAAGACAGAAATCAAAAGCACTCCATGACTCCTACTTGAGACATCATTGAGGCCTGTGTGTGCAACTTTCCTTCTCTGCACAGCAGTAGAAAATGTCTCCATAAATTCAGACATTGTATGTATGGGAACCTGAGAGAGTCCCCTGAGGTGGATTTGTCCATCTTTGTCATCCATCACTGAAATCTCCTTTGCTTTGACCTCCAAGAGGTCGTAGCATCTGTCCATATAAACCTCATAGTATGAAATATGTGCTGTACAACCAGTGCTTTGGCATATGGACAGGATCGCAGACATTGCTAATGGCATTAAGCCAGGTTGTTCCTCAGTGCCCTGCAATGTTTTTCACAAAAACACAACAAAAGACATAAACGTGAAAAATTAAACATTTATTTCCCCAAAAGTTACTATATCATAAGCACTGCAAACTCCAAGAGTATTAAGAATCAGGGACTGTATGAATTCAGACCCCTTCTCACCTCTATAGTTGTTGAGCTAGGATATCAAAAGGAAGGAAACGGTTTGGATAATGTAAACATCACATTTAGGGCGGCTTGTTTGGAGGTTAAAGTAGCATTAATGAAAAAAGGGTGCGAGCAAATAGTGAAATTCTTAATATTAACCTTACAAACATGAAAAGCAAGGATAGAAGAAAACACATCCGAAACTGTTACACATTCTTAGAATAATGATCAAAATTCTCAAAAGAATGAAGACTGAATAAACTCAAAACCCCTTATCACCCCTTAATTGCTGGGCTTGGATGCCACAAAAAACGAAAACAAAAGTTCTTGGTTCTAATTTTATGAAGACTTTGACCAATTCTTTTGGAATGCATTGGATTCTACCATTACCTAGCGCAGTCTAATATATGAAAACATCACCGTCCTAACATCAGATATCACATGCTAGTCATACATTTAATTCTTTCTCAACACTTCAAACATACAGTTAAGAAAGCAAATAAACGTTTCATAAAGATCACATTCACACCTGCATAGTGTATGTTTTTCCACTTCCAGTAGCTCCATAAGCGAACACAGTTGCATTGCAGCCGTTGAAGACACCTGAAATCAAAGGGCTTACTTCTCTATGGAAAATCTGGCCCACATTGTTATCCTCTTGGCCAAAGAAGGAATCCAACTGATAACACTCCTTTCGGCTATAACCAAAAGAAAAATGAAAGAGTCTATCGTCAAAACTTCAAAAAATATAATTTCCTGAAACAAAATCTTGAAAATAAGCTCGGTTTTCTGACCTGGTTTCAGGGTCTTTGAGATAGACAGTGATTTCCTCCGGGGATTCAGAGTCGTGGTCCAGAAAGGAGATGCATGAGCTTGAATTTCCATTTCTTGCAGATATTTCATGAGGAAGAAAGGGTCGAACTCTTATGATGACCCTGACCTTGGAGATTGACTTGGGGTTTGAAGTTTTCAGAGGGGTGCAAGAATTGGAAGTTTTTGGAGTGTTCAACGAGCAGCTGGGAGTTGCCATGGAGGTAAAGCCTCAACTTTCGATGAAAAGTACTCAAAGATTATGGATCTCAAGAAGGGGGAGGAGGAGAAGCTTGAAAACGCAGTTCAAGATCGGAAGAGAGGCCCGAAGCTGGTGGTTTCGAATGCGTCCTGACCGTTAAAATGAGTGGCTTCACAATTTGAATTTGAGTTTGGACCTTGTCAATTTTTTTGGGCCCACAAAACTAACGGATCAAAGAGGAAACCTTTAATAATCTCCTGCTTAGTTAAAAGTCCCCCAATTCCCCATTTCGAGCCTTCGGCGTTACAATTTTACAATCTACAATGTACAAATTAGGATTAGAATGTTGGGTTGGCCATAAGATTGTATGCAACTATACATATTGCAGATTAGGATAATCATTGAATCGCAAAGGCAGGATAATTATGAGTTATTCATTAAATCATTCGTTATATCATTTTATGTTGATGTTAATTAATAACTCATAATTAATAAATTAACAAATTAATTATTAATAAATATGATGGAAATTTGCATATGCCTATTTTCAAGTGTGATGAGCATGAAGAGTTCAGTTTCATTTTCTCTATTTCAAAGTTAAAAATTCTAGATGAAACATGATTTTTTTGGGGGCCCAAAACGCACTCTCAATATAATTGCTTCCTTCTTTAAAAAGAAAGAAAGAAAGGAATTGTTGGGTTGGAACACGTCGCACGTCAAGATGTTTAAATTTTCTTGTTGAAGAGGGTACGTTCATGCATGCTTAATCATGTAATAGACAGCCAAGACATCGTCACGATCTTTTATTACTATGATATAACTAATCGTGCACAAAACATGTATATTTATAGATATCTTGCAATGTTAATTTGATGTTTTAGATCTACATAGCGGATCGGTGTCCTTGCTTGGGTTTGAGGGAAAATTAAAGCAGACTCCGTCATGATCAGTTGCATGAAATTAAGGTAAGAGAGCATATAGTAAGTTATTTCCTTTCCTTGTATTTTTCTAGACTGACACTAAGAAATAACCATGAGAGTCCCCATTAACATAGGTAATATTGGGCCAGCATGTGTTCAGTTTTTTAGAGATGCATGGTTTAGCTTGCATGAGTGGGTCTCTTATAAGGAGGGCCATTGCAGCAATGTGTAGAATGATTTAGGAGGCTAGTTGACAGCTTAAAATCCAGGGAAAATGGTACCAAGGGTCTCCAAACCAAAGAAATTTACAATTAAGGTCCGATGCATTTTGAATTTATTCTGTAGACCCAAAGAGCTTAGATGTAAGTGTGTTTTAACAGGAAAAAACCCTTTCGCCCATCCCAAAACCAACTAGTGTTTGACTTTGACCTCTTCTCCCTCCTCTCCTCTGCCTTCGTTCTCTTTCTCTTTCTCTTCATCTTCATCTTCCTTCTCTCCCTTCTCTCATTACCTTTCTTCTCTCCCTCCTCTTCTTTGGATTTGACATAGAAGGCTTTGAATTTGCTTGTTTGTTTTATCATAAAATTGATAGCAATTTCTAAACAAAGCATATGGGATATATGTAGTTCGAAGGAAGCTGGATTTTGCAACATCAAATATTGTTTTACTTTTGAAAGGGGTTTATTTATCTTTCATCTAAATCATATTTTGAGCAGGAGCTGAAATTCAAGTGAACTCAATTTTGGGAACTACTACAGAAATTGTAAAAATAAGAACATGCTATCACTGAGTTGTGAATATTTGAAGTAAAAAATTATAGACTTTGAATTATGAATAGATGAACCTTTAATTGTGAATATTCAAATGTTTGGTTTTAAATTTGTAGACTTTGGGAAAACGTCAACTTCGAACCTTTACTTCTCAAGATATAGACTTTTACTTGTAAATATTTGAATTTGTGCTTGTAAATATTAAAAATTTCATTTGTAAATTTCTAAATTTTGTCAATTTGTATAGGAGTATAAAATGATTCAGGTATGACATTTTGTACTTGCTAATGGAGTATGCAATACTATTAAAGCTTAGAGTGCCCCTGCACTCATAATAGGAATCAAAGAAAAACAAAAATAATAAGATGAAGCATCAAAATGTACTTAATATTTCTCTGTGCTATCTTAAGTTGGCTTTTTATTTATGGAATTGGTTTTCTGTAAATAGATGTATAATAAATATTGTGATGTATGTTTGGAGAACACTTGCTGCGGTGTAAATGAAATTATTTGCAATGAACATTTGTACAAGTTTTTTAGGTTTATAAATAATAAAAAGTCTGTATATAACTTAAAAAGGTTCATTTTTTAACAACACAATATCTTTTTATTTCATATGGTCCATGCAATTAGGCTTAACATTTTTATGTTTTCCAAGTTTAAAAAAAACAGAAAATCTATATATAACATGAAAAGGTTCATTTATTAAAAATACAATATCCATTTATTTTACATGGTTTGTGTAGTTATAAGTTGAACATTTTTATGTTTTCCAAGTTTATGAAAAATAAAAAGTCCATATATAACATAAAAAGATCTATTTATTAATAATATAATGTCCATTTATTTCACATATTTTGTGTGGTTATAAGTTGAACATTTTCCCAATTTATGAATAACAGAAAGTCCATATATAACATAAAAAGGTCCCTTTATTAAGAACATAATCTCCATTTATTTCACACGATTAAATTAAATATTTGTACAAGTTTCACAGGTTTTTAAACAACAAAAAATCTATAAATAATATGACAAGGTTTATTTATTAACAATATAATTTTTATTTATATGACATATATAACATTCGGGATTTTAATTATTGGATTAAATTATATCAACAAGGGTAATTAGAAGAAATAAACAGTAGAAATAGACTAGGTGTAAGGTGGAGCAAAATTTAGGGCTTAAATGTGTATTTAAGGGAAAATGTTGGGTCTTTGTTCATAACAACCGCAGTTGTAATCTAAAGAGGTGATCATTGTGCGTGAACAAGCATTACTGAAAGAGAAGTGTGCTCTATGTTCACAACTACTTGCAGTTGAGTCCTTCAATAGAGATAACCACCCATAATTGTGGACAGATAAAGCAAATTTGGTTTAAGTGGCTTCAACCATCTAAGGTTGTGAAATACATAAGCCAACTGTCCACGGTTGCAAACATAGATAAAAGTCCCTATTTTGAAAATCAAATTAGAACACGAGGAGAGGAAGGGGGAGAAGGAAAGCAATAATGGTGCTCTATTAGGGCTTCAATTTTTGTCTACTTGGGAGTATTTTTAGTCCTTCAATTATCAAGCTAAACTCCCTAATCCTTCCCACTACCTTCCTACACGTTTGTCTTGGAAGATTTTTAGATTCGGGAGTTGTGATTTTTAAACTTCAGGGTTTAGATCCAAATCCAATGGATTGAATAGAGTTATTGGAGTTACTTTAAGTTTATATATCTAGGATTGGTGATTTTATAATATTTAAGTGTTGGGATTTAGGGTTTATATGAACCTTAGGCTTAAATTAAGACTTTGAGAACTATATGGACCAAATTTATTATTGTTAGAGTTCATGGAGGATAAATGGAACTAATAAAAGGTTGTTGGGGCTTTAGTTTAGCTAATGATAAAAGGTAAGGTTATGGCTAGCTTAATTAAACTAAAAAGTTCTTTTGTTGGGATTGATGATTAATGATTAGCATTTAATTATATGGATTATAGTTGCTCAGAGTTGCTTGAGTTTAAGGAAGCTTGAGAAGTGTTGTAAAATCCATTGTTAACCATTTATATAATAAAAGGGTTGAGGTAAACAAATAATTTATCCTAGTTATTAACCTGCTAGATCATATTTGAGGTTTTATAAATTGTAAAGATGTACTTATATGAGATTATATCTATAAACAAGCATGCGAGTACGTGAGTTAGTTTTAGAACTCATGTGAAATGGGAAAATGGTTATTATTGGGTGAAATTAAAGATTTTGATATATATATATATATATATATATAATTGTGTACATCTATATATATGAATTTATGATCTTAATATATGATAATGGTGTATTGATCATGGTTATTATTGGGTGAAATCCAATATATGTGCAAGCATAGTCATGCACATATGTGATTTAAACCAAAGCAACATGTGATTGTATGATGGTGCATGTGAGGGTGCGCAGTTCACTTTAAAAGGGAGTAGTACAAAATCATATGGTATCACTCGACACCATGTGTGGCCTTAGTATTTGATTATTCTGTTTGAAAGTCCTCGTTGTATTGCATGTAGCGGTTAGTTAGGCATATGATACCTTAATTATTCAAAAAATGGAAAATCATGGTCTAGAAGTGGAATGAGACCTTAGCCAAGTTATTTTCCCTATTTGATAAGATCAGATTAGTCTAGTTACATAGACTTGGCCAAATCATGTTAATAGCCCACAGGTTCAATCATCAATGTTTAAGAGGTTCGATTTGAATCTGTGGATCATGCACTATTGTACCATGATTATATAAATTGTTGTTATCCCACTTTGCATGTTTATTTATATTTTGACTTGTTAGTAGGTAGTGTACTTATTTAGTTATTGAAATTTTATCTCATCTTGTGATTGCAATTTTATAAGTGACAGTGCTGCCAAGGGTAAAGGGGAAGCTAGTCATGGCAAAAAGTAGATAGGCTCTGCTCTTTGTAATTGCCCAATAACTTTTGATTAACAATATGTAATTGAATATATGTACACATGTTTTCATTGCCAACTAGGAACATATCATTTTTTAGATGTACTTGCATGGTTTATGTGACTTGTTATTGTGGGAATTTGGCTTGTATTGTGAATCTCTTGGTGAGGTTGTATTGTGGCCAAATTACACCTGCAAGTATATGATTACTTATGGTATACTTGATATTTTGATTATTGAATATTTTTGGTTAGCCAAGTACAACATTTATAGATATGCCTCTTTTTAGTGAATTTTATGATGTTTAAATGGTTTAAAAATGTGTTTGGATGATGATAAAGTGTGAATAACTATACTAACAAGTAGTTGCCAATTCATTGGACTTAGTTTAAGCCTCAGTTGAAGCTAGTAGCACTTGAATGCAGTTCAAGTTCTGAAAATATGGCTTTTTGCATTCGTATGTATCTTGTTGGGGAAAACTATATTTTTGACAAACATTTGGTTATCTATTTCCATATTAGTCCTCATGCTTCCCTGTATTGTTTAACTCTAATTTCTAAAACATATGTTAAGCTTAACCAACATTTTTAGAAAGGGTTTTGGTAGGATCCTGAGTTTTCTATGATTTCAAACTTAATTATTAAACCTATTCTGTTGTGAATCATTTGGATTAATTGGTTCTTAATTATTAGTAAGGATTTGTATGGTATATTCTGATAATATCAAGGTGGACATTATAGCATTCCTGAACACTTGCATAACAGCAACATTTGTACATTATAAACTTCATAAATGACAACATGTTTTCATTGAAATAACAAAAACATTTATGTCAAATTTGGGTAATTTCATGCTAGTAGAAAATGGTAAGCTTCATGCTGCTCCTTTGTTCTCACTATCTTTCCAAACATCTTAAGAGCATAGTCTACTATGATTTAAAGTATTTTTTAAGTATCATATTTTATTGTTTACTTTCAACAATTTTTTTTTGGATACCATTGCCCTTAATGCTTTCAAAGTAGTTATTAAACTTTGCCTTAGCCAAGGTTGATTCTTACTTTTAATGTCTGGTTTAATTAATTAAGTTTAAGAATGATTAATGACAGAGGTTATTACACCATAAGCCATAACAGATAAGCACTTAGCCATGACAGACATGTCCAATTTTATTGAAATGACTCTTTTGCACCTATTTAACTTGTCATAATGCTCAAACATTTTCCCATGTTTCTATAACCTTTTGTACTCTGATTTTAAATGTTTTTTTAGGGCTTAACTTATTGTCTTCAAGTGAAATTATTTTGGGATCTCATTTACTCTAAAATATGTTATACGAGTGTTATTAGCCAAAGTTGATTCTATCTTCCTTCATTTAGTCTCTTACTTAAAATTAATTGGCTTCATTGGTTGGACTTAATTATGGGTAATGACAAAGGTCATATAAGGACAAATGGATCTTTTCTCTCTAAAATATAGTTACATCTAATGCCTTCAGGCCTACAGAATAAATTCAAAATGCATTGAGTCTTGATTGTAAATTTTTATGATTTGAGAGCCCTAAGTGCAATTCTCCCTAAAATCTATACATGCATGTACACCAACCAGCCATTTCATGAGCCTAAGTATGTAACATTCTTTGGACCTTGTGATTGATTCATTCTCTACTCAACCATACAAAACTCCATTGCCACATATAAGACTGTATAATTGGGTGTTTATCAGAGAAGAAAATCCCAACCTAAGACAAGAGGAGACGTATCTTCGTAGGTTTGATTGTTTTCATATTTGTGGAAGTCAGCCAATCGAAGCAATTAAGGTTTAGACTTCAAGTCTTGTGAGGTTCAATCAATTAATATTAGCAAAGGCACTTTAACCCTCCAAGCAACGTACTCTAATATAATGTTTAGCAAGTAAAAATGCATTTTTTTAAAAATATACACATATATATCCTTTATTTCTAGAAATATTTCTCATTTTTTTCTATAAAACATTTTTTCACATATTAAACATTGCCTAATTAGTTGTAGCATTCCTTATAACCTCTGATCTCATCTATCCCCATCAAATAGTCTAAAATTAACCCAACTAATCAAGACCCTTTAGGCTTCAGGTAATGTCTAGGAGATATTTTTTTTTTATAATAAAATGGAATGGATAAAAACCTTATAACATTACTTGGGATAAATTTTTGAAAGAGAGTGGAATGGCTTGAAGGGCTTTTCAAACCACTTGTTAAAAAACCCATTTTTCTCACCTCCCTCTCACCCTTTCATTTCCCCTCACCATCAAACTAAAAAATATAATTATATATAATTCAAATATATTAATTTTATAATTATTTTTAAATAATGATTAACTAAAATCATTTATTACTTTAATAAAACTTTTAAATAACGTAATGTTCCATTCCATTCTACTCCATCCCATTACATTCTGACAATCATCATTCTTTTCCGTTTCATTATATACTCTCAAACATGTCTTAGTGCCAATTGAGGTTCAAATTTGTTCCTTCACTTTTTCACGAGTCTAGATATCTAGATGATTGGTTAATGATTGTTAACCCTTAGAAACTATGTTTTTCGAGGATAATTTCTTATTTTTCTTGGAATATTATGTAACATACCTAGTTTTTTAAAAAAAATTTAAAATTAAAATATATACATACTCTATATAACGAAAATAAGTTACACTCTAGCTAAGATACAAATTAAGTATGTCCACTACACAAATTTTAAAGCTTATTCCTTTTATTACAATATTTTAATTTTAGCCGAAATATTGAAGATAAATTTATTATAATAAACGCAAATATCGTCATGACTAAAACTTTAAATTAAACAAAATCTAAAATTAATATTATAAAAATATTTAATGAATTATAATTTGCGTAGAAAATTAATTTTAGATGTAAAATATTTTAGCTCTATTATTTTACCAAAAATAATTACTAACTTCAAAACATAAAAAATGCATTGTGTAATCTTAGCTAGTACAAGTTCACAATAATAATAATGATAATGATAATAATAATAATATTATTATTATTTTTATTATTATTTTATGATGACATTGGTGAATGAGTGAAGGAAACAAAATCGATAACGGTAGTTAACGCCTAATGGAGACGTCGGTGCTATGTATTCGTTATATATAAAAAGTCGCCAATTCTTTAATATTTTTGTTTTCCCCATATTGCCTTCCTTGTTTCAACGGGCGAGGTCTTTTCGAAACCATAGCTCGCTTTGTTTCCCAGGGAGGTATATTTGGGCTTGGATTTTTGGCTCCCTTTTTATGACATTCACTTTCATTCCCGCCACTTATCCCCAGGCAGAGGTACTTCACTATTGGAAATTTGCTATCTTTTCTCGATTTTGTTGTTTATTGCTCGCCAAATCCAGCTCGCTTTCTTCTCATTTCCACCTCTGTATTCGATCGAGTCTTCACGGTTTTCTCGACCTCGAGCAAGTTTGGCTGGTGATTTGTTCCCTGCCCATATGGACCCCGGTGTTTGTTTGTTTTCGGTGAGAACCCACGGATTCAGTGCTTCAAGCCAGGGGGATTATTGGCGTTTTCTTCTGTAGGTTTTGATCTGATAACCGTTTATAAGATCTAGGTTCTGCTTGCTCTTTATTTCGCTGCGGGACTTTGGAAATCATGGAATTTTAGTGGGGTTTTTTTAGGGTTTTTGTTGGCTGGTGTATATTTCAGTTGACGTCATCTGAAGATCTTCCTTAGTCTTTAACGAAATCCACCGGCTTGTTGATCAGGATTTTGGGTTTTGGAGATGGTTATAGCAAGATATGGCTGAATTGAAATCAGAGGAGTGTTGTCTAGAGAACAAGCAATCTACTGCTGCGTCTACCTCCTCTATCTCTGAAGGCAGTGCCAGTGTTGTACACAAGTCCCCTGGGAGATATAGCCCCGCATCAACATCACCTTCCCATCGGTAACATCTGATATGATCTTTGCTTTTCACTATAGTAACAAAACTAATGTCCTCTTTGGAAATTAAAAATTTTTGTTCAAACCTGGGATTAATTCAGTGTCCACTGGTTTGCTAAATTTCACATTCTGCAATAGCAACTGATTCCCTATCTATTTTAGAAAGATTTGACCATTCTGAATCTTGCATGTGATAATCGTGCTCTGCTTGTCATCTTGTGTAAATAATTTGATGATGCAGGAGGACCACTGGCCCCATCAGGCGTGCAAAGGGCGGCTGGACAGCCCAGGAGGTTAGTCCTTTGAGACAATAGCTTCTTTTCTTCTATCCTTTTCCCTGTTACATATGTTCCTGACTTCCTGCTTGCTATCCAATCAAAATAATAAAATCAGTTCAGTTTGGTATCTGTTGATGATGAAGTACTTGTCCACAAACTATCATTAGCTTAAAACTCATCTAGTTTTACATTGTTGTTGCTTAGTCCTGAACATGGCAGCATTTTTTCTTATTCTTGTTTCTTTCGTATTTGTTGTTGAATGCTTTCCTCAACTTGCTGCAGGATGAGACATTGAGGAATGCTGTTGCAGCTTTCAAGGGCAAGAGTTGGAAGAAAATAGGTAATTTATATATACATATTTTGTTACTATTCAGCTTGGTTGTATAAAGATATCTAGTTTCAAAATTTCAGTGATGATTCATGGATGTTTCAAGTAGGTTTTTTGGCAGTTCATACTAGCTTCTTATGGGAAGTGATTCTGTTCGGATAACATCAGTGTTTGAATTTAAATGAGATATTTAAAAGAATTGAAGGAATGAGATTAATAATATGACAACTGGAAGTGTAAGAAACAAGGAAAATATTATTTTCAGAGCTTTAATCAGAGTTTTTTGTATGTATGGCGGGCTTATCGTAATGAAGACATGATGATACTTCATCTTGAAGATATAATAATTAAACTCTTGTACTTCTAGACAAGATTAATGTGCTTACGATTTATGGGTTTTTGATACTAGAGAAAGCTATATATATATATATATATAAATAGATGGATTGATAGACCAGAATTGCTGTTGGAAAATATGGGCATAACATTTTTTTTATCGCTGGCATGATCATGATTATTAGTTAAGGTGGCATTACTTTGGCAGGCGTAAAGTAGAACTAAAATTGATACATATATCTTTTCTTGTTTTCTCCTATTAATTGTTGATCACTTTATGCATTGCAAAGGAAAGTAATAAGTGTGTGAACTGCAGGAATTGTGTTTGTTGATAATATATACCTATGTGTTGATCATACACTCCTGTAAAAGTATCACACTCATTTTCATGACACCAATTTAAAATTTGGAATGCAGCTGAATATTTTCCTGATAGATCAGAAGTGCAATGTCTGCACAGATGGCAAAAGGTTCTTAATCCTGAGCTTGTTAAAGGCCCTTGGACTCCTGAGGTTGGACCTTGTCCTGTTTTCTTTTGTTTTCCCTGCTGTTTTATTGTATCATTAATTTCTCTTGCTTGCTTGGCTTACAGGAGGATGACAAAATTGTTGAACTGGTATCAAAATATGGGCCAGCAAAATGGTCTATGATAGCAAAATCTTTGCCTGGTCGCATTGGGAAACAGTGTCGAGAGCGGTAGGTTTAATGAAGTGTATGTGGTATTTCTGTGAGCTGATAAATGTTGGAATCCCTTGTCAAATTAAATATCAAGTTTCAGTTGTTTCTGATTGTTTTAAGTCATTTCATAATTCTCATTCAATCTTCTTATTGTTAGGCTCCAAAAGATGAGTTTTGTTTGGAACCTATTACATATTTACAGTTGATAATTACTTTTAGCTTTGCCTAGTATCTAAATGATACTTCTTTGGTCCTTAATATAGCTAACTTTTAACTACCTTATGCATATTTAGAAAAGGAGTTAAAAGTTGGTTAATCATTAAAGTCATCAACAAAAGAAGCCAATACTTTCCCATCACTGCCCTTACTAATTACATTAAATGTCAATGTGATATTAATTATATTAATTGCAAACCAAAGGCATAAATGGAAGAAAGTAATTAATGCAACAGACATATGCCGAAGCGATTTATATTTTGGACCAAGAAATCCTTCCAAAATTGTGACTAATATTAAGGACCAGAGGATGCATTTTATTTTATTTTATTTTTCCTTTTTTTTCCAGTCTCCCTCTTATTGTTTAGAGCTTGTGATAGACATAAAAATAATGTCTTGGCTTCAAAATATGAGTTCATGTTCATGAGATTAAATTTCCGAACATTTACAGATGGCACAATCATCTTAATCCTGAAATAAAGAAGGATGCCTGGACTTTGGAGGAAGAACTGGCCCTCATGAATGCTCATCACATGCATGGGAACAAATGGGCTGAAATTGCTAAAGTTTTGCCTGGAAGGTATACTTTCTTGTGAACTTTGTTATTATCAATAATGAAACCAAGGTCATAACTCCTAAATCATGGAATGTTGAGCTAAAGATATTATGCTGGCAGCTAGTTTGAATTTGGGGTGTTTTCTCTTATAGATATTCAACATGATAAGTGGGGCTTATATGTATTTTTATGAATCCTTTTCTCATTAAAGGACAAAAATTTGAGATGTAATTCAATCACTCCTGGTAAGAAGAGGGGTTGATTATCATGTTATGGTGATCTTTTACAGTTTTACTTTAATTGTCTCGGATTTCTAATGTTTCAATGAATTCTAATGAATGTGTGACATTGATCACTAGTTTGATCAATGCCAGTCAGATCATACATGTCACTTGATTTTAGATCACACTAGTCCACTTTATTGAGTAGTTCCCTGGAATTCAAGAAATAATATTTCAAGCCACCATGAGGTATTGAAAAGTAATGATAATGCCACAATAATTCTAAGTTGGTCTTGCAACCTGATCGAAGTTGTAATATAAAATAAATAACGTGAATTATCCCTAAGTTTTTCTGAAATTGTGCACATCTTTAATGTATATTTTTTATATTTTCTATTCCAATTTTAAAATTTTTTACTAAATAACCTCCAATGTCCTAAATATACAAGTACATATTATATCCAAATTTGTGTAGATTAAAATGAAAAAAAGAAAAAGATAATTGCTTTCAAATTGTACAAATAAATCTAAACAAATGGATTTGGTATTTTATTAACTTTTTAACGCAAAAATATAAGTTGATGTAGGGTATTTTAGTCAAAACTGGACTATAATTGCATTACTTTCTGTTTTAGAGAGTTCCATTTATATGTGGAAAGTAAGGGAAGAAGTTTATGTAACTTACTCTTATATATATTCTGTGATGTCCAATATTAAAACTTTTTGGCATTTTCATTGCAAGTATGTTTCTTATATAAATTCAAATTAGTGCACACATTTTTTTTGGTGCAGGACTGATAATGCAATAAAGAACCACTGGAATAGTTCATTGAAGAAAAAATTAGAATTTTATTTAGCTACAGGAAATCTTCCACCAATCCAAAAGAACAGTGCTCAAGGTGGTGTGAAAGATACAATAAGACGCTCTTCTAGTAAAACAGTACATGTATGCTCAAATAAAGTATCAGATACTGCCGCTGAGACATCATCAGAAAATACAGAGAACACTAAAGATGGCGGTGGAAAGAATCAACTAGAGTCCTTGGCAACTGTGAGAGAGTTTGATAATTCTCTGAACGTTCCTGCAAATGAAGGTGCTGATTCTGACTTTGGAGAGTGGAGGCTCAGATCATCCAATATAGATCTTGGCTGCAGCAACTCAGAACCAGTGTCAAGGGATAATTTTGGATTGACCAGCGACCTAAAATTTGATAACACTGGACTAAATGGCAAGCATAAAGTTGGGAATTGTGTGAATAATGGCGAAATGAGAAGTAGCAGGCTAGTTGGTACATCTTTTTCACAGGATATTCCATCCTCTGGTTCTTTGTATTATGAGCCTCCATTGTTGGAGAGCTCAGTTCCTTTAGATTCCCTTTATTTAAGTATGTATTGCCTGCAGAACGAGTACAATGCTACTCAAGTAATGTCACCTGTCGGTTTCTTCACCCCACCTTGTGTGAAGGGCAGTGAATTATGCACAGAGACTCCTGAATCAATATTGAAAATGGCTGCTAAAACTTTCCCATATACTCCTTCCATATTGAGGAAGAGAAAGAATGGAGTCCAAGCACATGTAACTCCTTGTAAAGTTGTGAAAGTGGATGGTGGATTTCATACTTCTAATGAACAGGAGGAAACCAAGAATAATTCTGGTTCTGGGTATGGAGAGCTCTTTCAGAGTCCAGCAAGGGATGACATCCTCAATAACATGGCTTTCAATGCTTCTCCCCCTTACTGGTTAAGATTCAAGCGAAAAGCTTTTGTCAAGTCTGTGGAGAAACAACTTGAGTTTGCTTTTGATAAAGAGAAGCATGATAGCAACAAAATGGAAAAATCTGCTAGGAGCACTGCAATGGCTGGAGATTGCTTACCTGATACAAAAGTGGCAGTGACCTAGTGCATTAATTTAAGGTCAGTATATTTTCTATATATTCTATATACTGATTTTCTTTGTTGAATTGCATTATGTTTCTTCTTAAACTCAGAGAGGTCTAATGAATTAATATCTATTTGGTGAGGAAACAGGCTGTTCTTATAGGGAGAAAGATAAACAATAATTTTTTTTTTTTATAAAAAGGCAAATATTATATAGTTAAAAAGAAAATTTCCCAACCAATGGCCATGAATGCAGAGTACTTGGAAATTGAGTAACATCATTAGTTACAAGCAAGCATAGAAATTTAATTAAAAAAGAATTAAGTTAAAGGATAGTTAGAAATTTTGATCCAGCTGAAATGGAAAATATTGGCGAGCTTATGACTTCCAGGTTTATGGCTTCTTCCCTCTTTTTTTTTTTTTTAACGAAAGGTTTATGGCTTAATTTGATGCAGATCTGCACTGCAATGAAAAAAAATAATGTTTTAAACAGTTTGAGTATTTAATTACATTTTTTGGTTTGGCAATTCTTCTTATATTGTTGCTGAATTAGATATTTGACAAAAGTTATTTTTCACTTGGTATCAGTAGTTGTTTAGTCGTTAAAAACTACATGTATTGTACAACTAGGCAAGAAATAGAATATCTTAAACTAGTAAGGTGTATAAGAAGTGCAAGATTTGTCCTTGACAATTCAAAATTATTCTCTCTCTTTTTTTTTGGGTGAAAATTATTCTTTAAATTTAAGCAATCGTTGTGTTAGGATCTTTTCTCTCGGAGTTTTGTGCATTTCTATTCAGGATGCAGAAGAATGTATAGATAAACTTGAACAATCTGCATGTAGTCCCCCCTGTACGGTTATTTGCTATCTACATGTAGTATAGAAACTTGAACTTCCCCCTGACCCTGTGGATATGGGGTGTGTTCTGTAATGGGAAGCTTGTTCTTAATTGAATTATCTTATCAGTTATCCCATGAATCTGCAGCTGATCTAATAACTTGAGTCCTAGGCAATAGGCAAAAAGATCTTATGTCTTTTCTGCATCCATGAAGCCTAAGTTGCACGTCATGAGGAACTAATGGCAATCTTCAACTTGACCCATCAGGATTTGACCTTGCTTGTATTTTTCTTAAATATAATCATCAGTCACTATAGTTTTATAGGGTTTTACTTTTAGTCTCTATAGTTTTTTTTTTTAGTGGTTTCAGTCCCTGGGTGATGTTTGTTTTTTATGTCCTTATAGTTTGAGGTTTTGTAGTATTTCTTGGAGACTGAAAATACTGGGAAAAAAAAAATACAGGAGCTAAAAACAAAACGTGATGAAACAATAGGGATTAATAATTGTGTTTTTTTCTTTCTTTTCTTTTCTTTTTTTTTTAGACGTGTTGAGAAATGCTTCTCAAGTAACATAAACTGGAATAAATGCCCTCGACGGTCTTGTTCCTCATTCAAAAGAAATAGCAGTGTTCGACCTTTTGGCAAATAATTGAAAAGTGACTCTCTTTTCCTTGCATCATGTGATTCTCAAGTCTCGACAAAGAAAATAGTTTTCACTGGCTTCTCTGTCGACCAATAAAGTCTGATTGAACACTATTTAAATATTATAAAGTAGGTAGAGCTGATAAAGGGGTCTCTTTGGCACATGCATAATAGGTCAAAGCACTATAGTTGACATGTAACACCGTATTTATATATTTCTTCAGGCATGTGGTAATATTATAACATGCGAACATTATTTAGAATTAGAATCACGTTAGCGAGAAAATATAGACAAGTAATTCTCCTTGCATCTTTTTGGCTGTGAATTTATCCATCTAAACTTGTTCGTTTCTGATCACAGATGTCATCAGATATGATTCTTCATGCAGGGATCAAAGCTGGAACCTGGAAGAATCTTGTCAAAGGAGATCTTGCCAATTTTGAAAAGCTAATATAGAAGAATACATGAATCACTGTGACTTGCTAATCCACGCGAAAGTTGGTTTGCAGGTGCACTCAATAACTAGCCCGTGAGCAGAATTAAGGAGCAGTAGGCGTCTGATATATGCACAATAATAAATTTTTATAGGTTCCATAAAGTTGTGGATATATATGTAGCATATTGACAGTACCAGATTTGTACAGCAAGCCCCATCTTAGAAAGAGGAAATGTTTTGAAATTTTTATGAAGTCCGTCCTTTTTTGGGCCTTTCCTGTTAACTTGGCTCATAGTGGAATGATTTTTTTCTTTATCGATTCTGTTTTAAATACTCATCATTCTTTTTTTGGGCCAAGTAGTAAGCATTCTGAACGAAGATTTTGATTTTGGGACCCACTTAGGAGGGGGACCTGCATCTAGTACATATGCCCTAAACATTCTCTACTGACTGCTAACATTACTTCGTGTCACCTTTGGGTTAGAGCCAGTTTGAGTCGCGAGAAAGGAAGTGGATAAAATGGCATTGTCCATTGTTTGGTTCTGATGAATATTTTGCTTATTGGAAAACCTTTTTTTCTTTTTTTTTGGTATTGAAGAAGTGTGAGCTCCTTAACAACCCAACGTTCTCCTCCTTTCACAATCCACCTTATCCTACGGCAGATGGGGTTGATAATGAAAGGCACCAAAAGAATGGTTACAATTCAAACCTAGACTAATTAAATGACTAAGATATTCAGAATAGGGATTATTAAGTTATAGATTAATTAAAGTTTTTTTTAACCTATAAGTTAACTGTTTTAAGTTAGTTATACTAGAAATAAAGTACAAGTAATCACTCAAGTTAGGTTAAATTACTTTCATAATATTATATCAATTGATTACAATAAATAAAATTTTAAATAAAATATATAATTCAGAAATCATGCAATAAAATTACTCTAATCAACAATAGTAATTAAAATATAAAATTTAAAGGCAGAGAAAAAAAAATAAATTAAAATAAAGTTAAAATAAATTTTTTCTTAAATATCAAAAACTCTAATTACAGCTTAAAATCATATTTTGTAATTGATCATACCAATAAAATTAGTTCTCCATGAAACTAAAAAAATCAAACAGTAATAGGTAAAAATTAGAGTAGCCATTGCCCAAAAGATTGAAGAACTGGAAAAGAAGACGAAGAGCAATTGCTATGTCCGCCTCTGTTCTCCTGCCTAATTCCGCCGCCAACTCTACCTTCTTATTTCAATTCTGCTCTCCACTCCAATTCAATTTCTATCCTTCACTTTTTATTCAAAAAGCTGAGTCCCCGTGTGTCCACTAAATTATTTTAATGAAGAATAATAACCCTAATTGAAAATTATACTAACAAATTTAAAATAAATATAATAAAGTTTCTGTAATTTAATTATTGACTTGATTTTTAAACATACCCATATTCTTCTATCCAAAACAATTTTCATCAATATTTTTCAAATTAAATCTAAAAAATATGCACACATAAAATAAAATTAAATAGTAAATGTGCAAAAAATAACAAAGATATCATTTATGTTTTAAAATTCAAGATTGAGGTAGTAAAAATCCAAAAGTTAAAAATTGGCTAATAAAATCAAATAATATTCAATTAAACTCAATTAGCCTCAAATAAATATTTAAAAGTCTAAATTAAAAGAATAAAAAAATATAAAATTGCTATTTATCACATAACATCCATTTGACGGTTAGATGCTTCACCAAATAAGACAAGATCATCAATAAAGAAAAGATGAGTGATGTTGCAGCCATCCTTAGAGAACTTGAAAGATTTCCACCTACCTCTTCCAATATCATCCTTAATCACATGACTCATACATTCCATACACAGGGTGAAAAGATAAGGAGAACCTAGATCTCTTTGTCTTAGTCATCTTGAGGGTAGAAATTTTGTACAAGACTCCCCACTCCAAAGCACTTGGAGAAAGGCACTCTCCACGCAGACCATAATGAGATTACGAAGCTGTTCATTCAACCCAATATCTTCTGATGTTTTCTTAATAAAAGCCCATTTCACTTTATTATAGACTTTTTCAAGGTTGACTTTAATAGCAACAAAGCCTTTTTGACCTCATTTTAGTCTGACAGAGTGAATGATTTTTTGAGCCATGATGATATTATCATTGCTTTGTCTTTCAGGAATAAGGTTGCATTGATGTTCTCCAACCAATTTGTTCATGAGAGGTTTCAATCTATTAGAGATGACCTTAGAGATTATTTTGTCACTAACATTACAAAGCAAGATGGGTTTAAGATCCTTCATGGTTTCCACATTATCAACATTAGGAATGAGGACTAAGTGAGTTTTATTAAGATCACCTACTTTGGTAGGATCTTTAACAGCTTCTTTCACAAGTTTGAGATGGAAATATCCAAAGTATGTCAATATTGTTGATAAAGAAAAGCTTGGATACCATGAGGGCCTGGGACTTTGTATCGCCCCATTTTGAAGACTACTTTTTTAACTTCAACTTTATCAACCTCTTTATGAAACACTGAGATCTCCTAATTATCTAAGGATGAGAAGGTTTCTTTTTTCCATAAAAAGTGGTCTATAACCAGCATGTGAGAAAATATCATTGTGGTAATTGCAAGTAAGGTTCTTTAGTTCTTCAATATCAAAAATCCAAGTGCCTATACCATCTTTTAGAGTGACTATTTTATTCTTGTGCCTTCTTATAACTATACTGGCTTGAAAAAATTTGCTATTTTAATCTCCCCTCATAGCCTAGCTACACCTTGACTTTTAAAACCAAAGGAGCTCCTCTTGCTAGAGAGATTTGTTATATTGATCCCAATGCTCTTTTTCCACCTATCTCAGATATTGACTGTCTCTGTAGGATCTAGCTCTTTCAACACCCTCGATTCTTTTGCTTAACTTCCTTTTTCTGGCAAGTATGTTACCAATTCTTTGTGGAGTGATTTCTAGCAGGTATGTTACCAATCCTTCCTCTTGCCAGAGAGATTTGTTATATTGATCCTAAAGCTCTTTTTCCACCTATCTCAGATGCTGACGATCTCTATGAGATCTAGCTATAACCTCCTTGAGGTTAAACCACAATTAACTCTAAATCATAGCAATCTGAGGTTTTAAAAGGAGAATTTCTCAAAATTATTTCATAGGAATCCCAATTTGTTAATTCAAATCCCAAACATAATTTAAAGACTCCAAATCAGAGTTTTAAAAAATAAAACAAAAGCTTGAAAATTAATTGGGATCCAAAAATAATGAGTTTTAAAACTCAAAAACTGTAACATCCCAATTTAAATTTTAATAGTTAATTTGGGTTAATAGAAATTTTAAAAAAAATATTTAGAGGTAAATAAATTAGTAGGAAATGATCATTAAATCTAACTTAGGATATAATTCTAAATTAATTTTTTTAAAAAAAAATTAATTAAAAAAATTATTATTAATTAATTAATTAAAAAAAATTATTAAATTATTATTATAAAAAAAGAGGTATGCAAAAAAAAGAGAGAGAGAAGAAGAAAAAGAGAAGTTTGCTTTCGGCACTGCCTCAATAGTAAAATAAAATAATAATAAAAAAAGAAGAAGAAGAAGAGAGAGGAAATAATTTAAAAAAAATGTGAGACCCACTGAATTTTTATAAAAACTCACCTGTTCCTTCATTTCTTCATTCCTTCTTGCGTGCGTGAGCTGAGGCAGAGAGAGCATCTGTGAGCCAAGTTCACCGGTGCTGGGTTTTAAGGTAAGAGTTTTTAATAGGATATTAAGGGTATGATTTTAAGCTTTTCAAGACTAAGTAAGTGTTCTAAAATTTTTTTTTAGTCATCCTTGTTCTTTGGTTTCTGATTTTGTAGTGGTAGAAAATTTAAAGATCTGGAAGATGGATGAATTTATGTTGAATAAATATGGTTTTTGAGGTTGTTAGTAGTATAATAAATATTTTAGAGTATAAATTTATTGATGATCTTTGAATTTGTGGCTTATGGATCAAATTCTAAACTAGATCTGAAAATATATGTTAATTTATTGAGGTTTAGATGATTATTTGGGATGAGAAATGAATTATTATGGTTATAGGATTATGATTCTAAGCTAGAGACTCAATTTTTAATTTTTGAGTATTTTAGGTACGAATTTATGAAATAAAAAGAAAATTTTGATAATAGAAATTAGTTTAGAAGCTAATTTTTTTAGATTATTAATGTTTATTGATAATTAAAAGAGGAGTTAAAATTTTATTTAATAGTATTAACTATAGATTTGTATTAAGATTGAGATTAGGAATTATGTTATATTTTTAATTCTATTATTAAAATTATTTTATTAGTTTCAAAAATTAAAACTAATATTTATAAATAATATGTTATTTGTAGATTGTATTACTGGTGAAGATTGTGGTGAGAGAGAAATTTTAAGGAATAATTTATTGAAAAAGCCATAAGGTAACCATGCTTTTAATTTGTGATTAGTGTTACTTCATGTTAATTGGGTGATTATTGAGAAAATTATGAATTTTGTAATATTGTATAATTGTGTAATATTATTATGAATTTGTTTAATTATTGTGGGAGGTGTCGGGAGACTTGCCATTGTTGTTGTATTTATGTGCCACGTGGTACGCCCCTATTGGAGCTCAATAGGTGGCTTATAAGGGCTCGGGCTAATTTACCTTTGGCCGGGTAATTTAGCACCGAGTGAAGGCTACGGCTCGAGGTTAATGGAGGGATATGAGGATGGTTGTTTGTGTGTATTGTAATATTTCATATATTTATTGGAATTATATTATTTTTAATTCTCACTTAGTAAGCACACACTTAACTGTTTGTATACACTATCATAAATTGGCTTTGGTTACTGGGACTTTTGAGTCTCATTATGTGGTTAACAATTTTCAGGAGAAGAGCCACGAGTGACACGTGGAGGAGTCCCAGAGGCTTAGTGGTATAAATCCACTGTCTCTTTTGGGTATTTAATTTATGATTTATAATATGTTATATTGCCAATATTAGGGCTTTTTGTTTATTATCAATTATATGAATATATAAATGTAATCATGCTTTTCAAACTATTTCTATTTGTGGTACAATTTGGATGACTGTAATTTTAATATTTGGTTTACTTTGAATTGGTTAAAATGGTATGATTATAAGACCAAATAACTGGTTTATGTTGAAAAATGACTAAATTGCTTATTTTACTTGTTGGGAGTATAAGGATGGACAAATGTGATTTAGTTTACTTGTTGGGAGTATAAGGATGGACAAATGTGATTTAGCCTAATGGCATGTGGGAGGTAAAAATTTATC